GTGGTAAGGGAGGGGGTGGGGGCAGGGGGGAGAAATGAACCAAGCCTTGTATGCACATATGAATAATAAAAGAAAAATGAAAAAAAAAAAAAGAAGAAGGTGCATAGAAAAAAAAAAAAGCTAATGTCTCTTCAATTAGAACATTTTTCAAGATAAACAAATATTGACTTTTAAATGTGAAAGGAAATGTATTGGCTGTTTTTGTGTGGCCCTCACTGACACAGTGATGGGAGGAGAGGTTAGGGAACATGACAGGGTAGAGACAGGGGAGGGGCTGAACTTTACCAGGGGGTAGGTGATGATGAAGGCCACCCAGCCGACCAGCAAGAAGGTACTCAGGATGATGGTGGCCATGTCCTTGAGCATGGAGTCCACGGGGGCCTCTGGCTTGGCAGGAGCAGGAGCCAACTTTTCTTCCATATCCTGAGATAGAGTAATTGGAGCATTTTCCGAAGTCTGGTCAACCAGGTTGATAACCTTGAATGGGAAAGAGTTGCTATATCACTGCAAAATTTTTAGCCAGATACAGATGAGGTGAGTGATCAAGAGAGGTAACCTCTATTTACAACACAGGAGTATACTTGTAATGTGTTTTGGTTTTTTTTTTTTTTTGAGCTCAAAGGTCACATAGCCAAATAATTGTTGCCACTTTTGAACCAACTGCTCTGAAAGGCCATGAACATCTACAGTGACATTACGGTTGTCCAAAAACAGATTTTAGAGCAATACATTTGGAAATGCCTTCAGATCCTGATATTCTTTGGAAAACCCTCAATGAAGGCAAAAACTTTTTCCTTTGATGGTAGATTTCATAGCTGGGGAAACTATGAAATCATTTATAAAAAAAAAAAGTCTGGTGAAAAGCTGGTAGTCAGTTTGATAATACTGTGTCACATTGACAAGGAACGCTAGAGCCAGGCATGGTGGTTCATCCCTTTAATCCCAGCACATGAAAGGCTGAGGCAGGAGGATTGCAGTTTGAGGACAGCCTAAGCCACACAGTGAGAACCTGTCTCAAAGAAAAAGAGAGCTGCACATATGTGCAGGCATATAACTAATAAAGAAATTGCTTTGTTAAGTTGCTTGTAAACTTTTATTCAAGAATTCTGCTATTTTCCCAAAGTTTTTTGAAAAGCACCATAAGCCTTTGTTAAAGAAATTTTTATTAAGAAGCCCCAAATTAAATCAGATAAAAAAAATGGAGCTTCCATCCAAGCTCCTTAGAATCTAGGGACTTCTTGGAACAGTTTAGAATAACACATTGATCTGTTCTCAAACACCTGGTGTTCCAGGCATGTTGTTAAGTGTTTGCCCAAAAAAATTTACACACTGCCTCCCGGCTATATGCACAGATTCCCCAGGTGCTCGCATCATTTCATCACCCCAGATGTCAGCCTCCGGTGCACTTCTCTCCCTTTCCAGCTGTACCCCGAGTCCTTCCAGGCACCCCTTTCCTTTGCTCATGCCTCCCCACAGCAAACACAGGGGTGTGGCCTGCTTGGCATACAGCAGGCGACTGAGGAATGTTTGTGGAGCATGCGACTAGGGACAACACTCACTGGGACATATCTGCTCGTTTGATATCTTGTTACCATATAGATGTACCTCAGAATATTTTGATGGATTTTTAAAAGACCCTTTGCTCTAAATCAGATGGTTATATATGAAAATTTGAACCGTGGCTACGTCTGGATATTAGATTAAGGGTATTGTCTTAATCTAATAAGTTTCACTTTCTAAGTGCTCAATAATGAACGTGCATGACTTTGATAAGATCTTAGGACAATGCTGTTCAAGATTGCTGTTATAGGAATAAGTGTATTTCTTCAACCTGGCTATGTTCAGAGCTGATGGACAATAGACACTGTCCCCTGGGCTTTTAAAAGACCATGGTTTTCCTTTGCCTCTGGATAAAACCTAAGTCTCTCAAGTGACTCTGTTGTGATCACAGTCTCATCACAGCAGCTGCTCTCATTTTTCAGACCCTCCCCTAGCCTAGGTTCCTCCTCTTATCACCAGAACCCTCTTGGTGGGGTTGCCAGGCCTGAACAGCTCACTAAGGTTGTCCCTCTGCTGATCATGTGGGCTCTCCTCCCACAGCCCTGCTCTGTGTCCTAGAAGGCTGACCCATGTGGTCTCCTTGCCCTCTGGTTTGGGGCTGGGCGAAGCTAGCAGGGAGCATGAGCAGAGGAGTGGAGAAGGGGAATAGGCTGAGTGCTGTGTGGCTGCTGAATCCTCAATCAGAGCCCCTGAATCCTGTACTGGGCCCATTCTACAACCTCTCTGGCTTTAGGCCAAGGTACACTGAGTCCATTGGTACTGCCCACATCTCTGTGAACACTCCTGCTACTAAAGTCCCCTCAAATTGCCCTAATTTGGGCAGGCCATCTGTCTCAATTGAGACCCTGATTAGTCCCCCAACACCTGATAGGAAGAGCCAGAATCAGTTAGTTCTCTTCCCCACTCACTTCCTCAAAGTTCTTTTTCTCCAGATCAGCAGGAATCACATTTTCCCGGTGTTTGGGCAGATTGTTGGGAAATCTCTCCAGCATCTTGGTAGATGCAGACAGTGGGGTTTCATGGTGTCCTGAGAGGAAAAAATCTTTAATGAGAACAGTTTTCCAACCTGTGGTCACACCCAACACTACTTGGGCAACAGTTGCTACCCATGGAAAGGTCCTTTCTATAAGGAAACCCTTTACATCTATATAGTGAGAGAAAATGAGAGACAGTTACCAGAAAAATCCCATCGAAACAGTTATTTTATTACTTGATGGCAGAATGTAGTATTCTGAGTCTCATAATGAGAGCAAGGATATGTCCTTGTCATGAGAGGGATCAGGATGTTTGTGATGAATTCCAAAGCAAAGCCTGTGTTGGCACATGTCCGACTCACAGGTGGAGCATTATGAGGCTTCTCTCAAAGTCCAAGGAATTCTCCTTCCATTGCTTTTTCTGGTAATATCACTTTACTAAGGCTATGAGTCCCTTCTGAGCTTTTCAGTTGGTCAGGGGGAGTTCTATTCCTCCTCCCAGCTACATATGAGCTTCCTTCTGAGGAAGTGGTGAATTACTGGTAAGAGAGCCAGAAGAAATAGCTACTGGATGGCTGGCAGCAGGGGGGGGGGGGGGTGTGTGGAGAGGTGGGTATTCCAACTCTCTCATGTTCACTCATTGTTCTGTAAACAACTATTTCATGACTACCTGGTATTTATTGCACAGCAA